CTTCAATAACAGTTAGTAGATACTAAGTTAAACTTAAAGTTTAGTAGTACAATTTGATGAACAAAAGTTAAAGGTATATGTATAAAAATGCATCAGTATCGATCAGTAAATAAACGGCAGAAATACCGTTTGTAGCATGAGGGCTTCCAAATATGGAACTATGTTCCAAATATGGAAAGCAAGCCGAGGTGAATCGGTGAATCTTGAGCCGGGGCTAATTCGAACTCAGCGGTATATTTAAATTTTCTACGCACAGATTAGGATGCTCCCCGCTCGCTGGCTGGTGCTCGCTCGCTGGTCGCAAAAATGTACCTTGTATTATATGCTTTATGTTACAACAACTGTTTTACGAATCTATGAATTAATACAGAAAAATAAATGTACTTTTATATTTACAAAATTTACAAATTATGCGATCGAAGACACATTGCAGGAAAAAAGCTTTTCTTAAAGCGCTCCGTCTTATAATTACAAGGAAACAGTGTTAGTCTATTTCCGTACCTTAAATTGCAATTGTGTTCATTGGCCGTGAATTGGTATCAAGGCGTGAATCAGGCTGTCGCGTTTTTGTACACAAAGCATCACGTCTTGCGCGTAATGTCGAACATTTGGCTTGGTCTAGAGCTGCGTCATAGTTTAATGTGGAACAGATTATTTGCATTGTGCGCTTCTGGACCCGTTCAATTTTATTTGACAAGTTGATGATCAATGATGAATGCCATACCGGACAGCAGTTTTCGAGGAGGGATCTAATAAGTGTAAAATATACACGTAGCAAATGAAACGATGAAACGATGAAATGATGAAACGATGACTGTGCTTGAGAACTTGTAAGATGTGTAATCTCTTTGATGCTTTGGCTGCTATATATCTCACTGATGTGCAAATCCCACTTCAGATTATTCTGGATCGTTAAACCTAATACTTTGTGGGATTCTATTCTTTCTAATATTTTCAACGGCTAAGGTGGGTGGAGGCTGCTCAATATCTCGTCGAAAGGAGACAATCTCAGATATTGTCACGTCGTCTACGTATTTCCAATTACTGGAACGCGGGGATACTAGTTTCAAATCATTAATCATTATGACAAAAGGGATTGGACCCAATTTGGTATCCTGTGGGACTCCAGCACTAGTTGAAAGCCATCGAGACACGCATTGTCCCAACTTAACACAGTGGCGGCGATTTGAAAGGAAGCTACAAATCCAAGGGATTATTGAACGGCGCACTCCCAAAATCGATCAATTTTATTATAACAATATTATAGTCTATTCTTGATCTGTCAAAAGCTTTACTAAAATCCAGAAAACAAGCTCTAAGATAATGACCTGGCATGTCCATTTTAGAAAGCCAGTTGTGGATAAGATCTAGAAGACGTCAAAGGGTAGTAGATGTTCCCTTCAGGCTGCCATACTGACGATTATCGATTTGTCCGCCTATGTCCTCAACCATCCAACTAACCACAAAATCTTCGAGTACTTTCTATAACACAGGGGTAAGTGCGATGGGGCGGGTATTGCTCTCAACCTGAGTTTGTTTCGCTTTCGGAATGGGTATGATGCTAGAATCTTTCCATAAAACAGGTACTAGTCCAGAGGACAAAGATGTATTAAATATTGATGTAACTGGCTCAGTACGTTCATAGACAAACTCTTTTAAAATTCCGGATGGAATATTGTCCGGGCCCATATAGCCTTATTAGTCTGAAGTTTTAAGAGCTTACCACAAACCTCGTGAGGATGAGCTGTAGGAGGCGGTACCGCAGCTGGTAAGAATGTTGGAAGGCTTGAAATATCAAGTGGTGGGAAATTACTTGCTACACTTACAAAGTAGTCAATCGGAGACTATACCAGTTCTCTAATAACTGTCCGTCACGCTCAATTGTAAACTGAGGTTGACTTTTCGTTCGGCCTGGCATTGTGTTAGTAGTATGCCACCATTGACGGACATCGTCTTTCCGCAAGTTATGGATTTTTTGGGTATAGAAGTTATTTTTCCTGGTTTTAATCTCTATCTGGACCCTCCGTCTATATTGGCGCCACAATTGCGCGTCGCCGGTATGGAAAGCACGTTGACGCTCTTTACTGATAAGTTGTTTTATGTGCCCAGTAATCCATGGTTTGTCCGTGGGATGAAATCTCATTGTGTTCACTGGAAAAATTATCGATTGCAGTGTTCAGATCATTGGTAATGGTGTTATGTAAAAAGATTTCAAGTTAATAAAATAGTCTAGGATTGAATCTTGTCTAGTCGGACGTGTGACGGCTTGCTTAAGTTTGTGACTTATAACTAAATCCTGTATATTGAGATGATTGAAATCGCCTAAAATGACTATGCCACAATCAGGGTATTTAGAGCGTATAGTATCAACAGAGGACACAAGGTAATCGCAAAATTCCCTCTGTTCATGCACACATTTGTCCGGTGGATTATACACTACACATACTGCGATTGCAGATAACGGTCTCGGTAGACGTCGTGGTCGAGCCCACAACCACATGCACTCTAGTATCGCGTAATGGGTATCTGCTGAGACACATAAACCCACACCCCACCCCCACGACCATGCATCCGGTCCTTACGATGAATTACATACCCACCAATCGATATCTGATCGTCCCCTATCTCATCAGTCAACCAAGACTCCGTAATTGCAGTCATATGAACTTTGTTGACAGATATAAATGCTGCAAGTTCATCATTCAACCTTTCCATTAATTGAGCGTGCGTTCAAGCAGCAAATTTTTGGGAGTATAGCTTTATTTTGTTTTTGTTTTTTCCATTATAATTATTTGTACATCTAATACGGGTTAGATTGTTATAATTATTTGTACATCTAATACGGGTTAGATTGTTATAATTGTCACCTCGCGTCTTCCTACGCCTTCTTTGCCTCACTCGGCGACCAAAATTACGCGATAAAACTCTGACTTCTATTTGCTCCATTATACATAAGTTGAGTACTTCCCGTTGTGGGTAATATTAAATCTAATTTTTCCTTTTGATTGCCAAGTCTTGCAGTTAACAAACTGAGGCCAGAAATTTTGTTGTTGCACTAACGAACAATCGGCAGGACGAATATGGATTTTAGCCGATGTCGTACCTTTTATTTTGCTTGGAGAAACTGAGATATATGTAGGTGTTATATTCCGTTGTTTGAGACAGGAAAAAAATTAACATTTTTTTACGTTATCAGCTATCCCGCTTAACAGAAATTTCTTAACTCTGTTACGTCTCCGATGAAACCAATAAACCCGACCATAGATGGATCATTCATTATTTGCTAAAAATTGTTTTGGGATTTATTGGAAGGAGACTTTTTAAGTGGGCTGCATGTATTATTAAATGCAAAGCTGGATGCCACTATATACCTCAGTTAGCGTCGCAAAAGTGGCTTGATTGTTGTAGAGTAATCCGGTATAGTGTAAACGGGACCTTGCTCTGTCTGTGTTTTTCGCCCTCTTCTGGCTCTTCATCTGCTTTTTAGCCAAAAATATAAACAAAACTACAGAGCTTTCAAGATACAAAATTTATCAGAAAGGAAGAAGAAATAGATCAAAGAAACAAAGCAATTTCTTCTACATGCGTTCTACGTGTAAAAACAGTGAAAATTAACCGGCTTGGCATTCGCCGAATTTGTTTTTGTCTCGACAAGTTTTTGGCAAAAGCGTGCAAAATAGCCGAGAAAAAAACTTGAGAAAGATACGGTAATACCAAAAACATAGAAAAAGGCAACAAGAACTGAGAACGAGTGATTTACAAAGTATACCTTCAACGCTTCTGACAAAACCTGCTAGATATATATTTTTGGCGAAAGGCAAAAATACAATACTGATTTCAAAACTTAAAACTGAGCAACACGATGAAATCCACGATTTTTCATGGCAAATCCAGCAGCCCAAATGCTGACAAACATTAGCATATTAGTCTGTGTATCACTGTTTTCTTAATCAAAATTTTGTATTGTTTTTTGCTTCTTCGCCCGCTTAAAAACTCAAGCGACAGTAAAACTAAAAGCATGCATGCACGTGACGTCACTGAATACATCATGTTAGGAGAATTTCAAAGTCAATCTTTTGAGTAAAATTGTTTACTATGTAATATTTTCTACTTATATTATAAAAGAAATAGAAAAATTCGCCTCGTAAGTTTATGGTGTGACAGTGCACTCGGGGAATTTCTATTTCTTATATAATACAGCGTAATAAGTTACTGAGTGAGAGTGAGGGTAGTACGGGGAAATATGAAACCGAGGTCTTGCTGTATTGACCGAGCAAGACCGAGATTTCATATTTTCCCGTGATGTCCGAACGGTCAAGGTCAGTTTTGTAAAAAATGAAAAACATAATACGTCACGCGAGGGCAAAGTACATAGTCCGAAGCATTTGAAAAAAATGTCAATTGTAAAAATTTATTTTGCTTAGTTAAACTACTCTACAGCATCTTTTTACAAAATATTAACAGAGTTTTGGAGGAGGACGAGGTATTTAGTTATTTGCTCTTGAAAACAACAAATATAAATAAATATAAACAAAATATATAAATGAATAAGCAGCGCCGTCATTCTGCAAGCCTTTTTTTAGTTTGCTTCATTTTACATTTTAATATATCTTTTTTTACTAACACGCTTGCTATGACGACTACTATTATTATACCTACGATACAATAATAGTAAAAACATTGTAAAATTTACCTTGTATTTTCGACTTACGCCAACAAAAACTTAGTGAAAAAGTTCTTAAATTAACGACAGCAGTCACTCCTTTTCTGTTTTTTAGATTTATTTCTCATTTAGAGTATTTTGAAAGCTTTTTAACAACTTGACTTTTGTTTGATACTCGGTTCTCTTCGTAGGGTAATTAAAGTACTGTATTGCCCGTGGGCATGCAATACGGGAAAATCCTGCCCCATCAGGCCAACAAATTGCGCAATTCACCAAAACAAATGTTTGCCATATAATAATAAGATTTATAGCCATTCAATGTTTTTTATTCTTTTAGGGGCCGCCATTAACGAGAAACGAACAACTAGTGTGGCATGTAATGGCCTTCGTGATCTTTGCGGCCTCCGAATTGACCAAATTACATTTCCAGGTAGTCACAATGCCGGATCTGGATTTGATGGGCTTCTCTATTATTGGAGTGGTGGAATAGCCCCGTCGACTTGTTTATACCGTAATCATGGAAAAAGCTTTTCCGAACAGTTAGAATTCGGTATACGGTATTTTGACGTAGATATTTGCTATGGAGAGACTGAAGCATTGAATTGCCACTGCGATCCATTGAATTGTGCCTACACTGGCTCTATCGGAAAAGGTTTGTCGCAAATTGACGCGTGGATGAAATCCCATCCCAATGAAGTTATCGTTATCCATTTTAACCACGATGCGCAGAATGGTTATCATGCAAAAATCGCTGAAAGTCTTGAGAAAGGGCTTTTAAAATATTGGGCAACGGGTACTTCCGGGACGCTGGCAATGAATAACCAATACAAAATAAAGCTCGTTTAAAATGGCCAACGCTAAGGGATGCAATAAGTTCGAACAAAAGAATTTTCATCTTCATGGACTACAAGCTAAGAAAGTATATGTCTAAACCCTATGACTGGCTCGTGGGTAGTAATGGAATCATTGCATCAACCTGGGGTATCAATCCAGTAAGCTTCAGTTGCTCAACAATAACTACTAATGCTAAGAAAAAATGTGACACCTCTAGTGCTTTCATTGACCTTTCAGGATTCGCGAGCTATGGCTTGTGTACTTGGGTTATGGCGACACTCTGTTCCAAGTGGTTAGGAGAAGCGGCAAATGAATGCTATAAGCGAAGGGAATTGAAGGGTAAGACAGTAAATTTTTTGCTTGTCGATTGGAGTGATTACCACAAAGGGCAAGAATCTGTCGTGAACAAAGCTAAATTCATGAATAAGAAAAACATCAAAAGGCACGTGGGCAAAAGCATTTTCTTCCCAGAACTCACAGGTTGTTCTTACCACCGTTTCTGGTTTGGAAGCTACTGCTATAAGTATTGTTCTCAGTATGGTTGGTGTTGGATAAATAAATCCTGCCGTAAAGATGCTAATGTCTGTAAGCAGGCTGACTATCGATGTTTTTCAAGCTGTGGATATTAGGCATTGCTTCTCCCGGTCTGCATAATAATATTAATTAACGGATTGTCTCTTTAAGAAAATTCATTTCATATATACATTTGATTAAGCGCAAATTATCATATGAATGTTCAGATGCGCTATTATACAATTATTAAAAACTATTAAATATACAGTATGAAAGTTAAAAATTTATAGTATGAAAGATCATAAAAACTATAACAGAAAATCAATAAAAACTAATAAGTGATATCGTAAGCTACCGTATACGAAAAAAGTATGTTTTTAATTGTTTTTTAAAAGTGCAGATTGATTTCAAAAGTCTCGTATCCTTTGGCAGGCGATTCCATAATCTTGGGGCAAACGCTCTGTCCGACTCCCCTAGTGTAGTGAGAGACTTTCCGGACGGTACTGCTAGTATAATTTCTTCGCTTGATCGTAGGTGATAGTTAGACTGTTCCTTTATTCGAATTAGTTCTCACAAGTATTTAGGAACCAATCCATGAATCGCTTGAAATGTTAAGGTAAGAACTTTGAATTCAATCCGGAATTTAACCGGCAGCCAATGTAGCTCCATTAAATATGGACTGATGTGCGCAAATTTAAGAACCATATAGACCAATCTAGCAGCAGAATTTTGAACTCTCTGTACCTTTGCAATTTGACAAGCCGGTAATCCATACAATACACTGTTACAATAATCCAAACGGGATATAACAAGGGCATGAACAAGGGTAGCTGTCACATCCTTTGTTAAATATTTCCTAATCTTTCGAATATTATACAAAAAGTAGAAGGACGATTTACACAGCTTATTAATTTGTTCGTGAAATGTCAGGTTACTATACATTTGGGTTTCTAGATTTTTAACAGTTCGAGAGGGAAAAATACTCTTTTCACCAACTGCAATATGGTTGAAGGATAGCTTGGCCAATTGTTGTCGTGTTCCGATTAACATACATTCAGTCTTACCGTCATTCATTTTTAATTTACTTCCATTTACCCAATCACGTAGGTTCGAAATACAATTTTCCATTTCTTGGACGGCCACTAGCTGGTCATTGACACAGTTAGGATTTAATGAACAATACAGCTGAGTATCACCAGCATAACCGTGTGAGTCCGTCAAATGATTTTCAATTATATAGAACATCTCGCTTGCGTAAATTATAAAAAGTAGAGGACCAAGGCTGGAACCCTGGGGGACATCATATTTCAAGACACATTCTTCCGATATTGAACCATTGAGATGAATACGTTGTTTTCTATTAGTAAGATAAGACTGAAGCAAACCACGACAGGGCAGTCCCATTAACTCCCACGGTGTACTTCAAACGATTTAACAATATAGAATGGTCAATATAGTATCAAATGCGGCACTCAAATCCAATCCATCAATCAATCAATCAATCAATCAATCAATCAATCAATCAATCAATCAAAACAATTTATTTATCCACGGTAAAATCTTCAGTTACGTACAAAGTAATACAATACATACAATACACGATACACATTTAAAATACGTACATGATAAAGATATTAACTGATTTACAAGATTGCCGTGTGGGAATCAGATTACGTTATAATAATATTTATTAATTGCCTTCTTAAACTGTGGTACCGATTGGCATTTTCTTATATCTTGCGGGAGACTATTACTACTATTAAACAATACAGCCCCATTATAAAAAAAACCTTTTTTCATATAATCTGTCCGTGGCTTGGGGACATTTAATCTCATTTCAGAGTTTCTAATATTATACCCGATGCCACGAACAGAGAAAAGTTCCTGCAAATAAGGTCAATAAGTGGGGGCTTTCCCATTAAGAATTTTAACATTAGCCTTGAATTTTTTCCTACGCAAAGAGAGATTATCCCAGTGCAGCACATCAAAGAGCGCACCCGCACTGGCATTATGACTCGCTTGCATAACAATCCTTGCTGCTCTATTCTGCAGCTTTTGTATTTTGGAACTTAGTATTTGACCTAGACCATCCCAGACCGAGCAACAATAATCGAAATGTGGTTGTATCAACGCTCGGTATACATGAATGGCCGCGTCAGTTGTTATATATGGTCTAATACGCTTTAAAGCGCCAATTGCCGAAGCAATTTTCTTAGATATTTTCTCAATGTGTGTTGACCAATTTAAATGTTTATCAATATATACCCCCAGAGATTTAACTGAATCGACTTTTTCAACCTCACAATCATTGATTTCAACCGTTATTCTGTCATCCATAGCACTCAATCTTTGTCGAGATGCAATTATCATAAACTCTGTTTTAGCAATATTTAGGCTTAGTTTATCTGTGTTCAGCCATTTGTGAAGGTTTTCCAATTCAGAGTTTACGACAGTTTGGAGCTCGTCCATAGAATTTGCCGCGTAACTAATGCTAGTGTCATCCGCAAATATTCTCGGGATGGCACAATTAAGACAATTTGGTAAGTCATTAATATATATGAGGAATAATAATGGTCCCAAATTGCTCCCCTGCGGAACACCACAGGTAACTGGATTTGAACTTGACAAATGGTCATTTACACGGCATTTTTGAGTTCTATTGGTAAGATACGACTCAAACCATTTAAGACTATTCAAGTCGACTCCATAATTTCCCAACTTTTTTAAAATAATATTATGATCAATGATGTCGAATGCTTTCTTTAAATCTATAAAAACAACTCATTAATCAGACCATTGTCAATGTTCACAGACCAGCTATTTGTGGCTTCGACCAATGCCGTTAGAATGCTATGTAACGATCGAAATCCCGATTGACAGGTGGTCAAAAGATTATAATTATTCAAATATTCGTAGAGTTGTTCATAAACAATTTTCTCAAAAATTTTAGCAATAACAGGAATGACAGATATAGGGCGATAATTACTAGGATCATTCCTAGCACCGCTTTTGTACACTGGTGAAACCCTGCTCTCTTTCCATTCGTGTGGAAATATTCCCGTATTAATAGATGCTGTAAATATTGCCGTTAGGGAAGGTGCAACAACATCAGCAGCTATCTTAAGTAAGTAATTTACTGGGTATCTTATCAAGGCCAACTGATTTTTTTTCATCAATTTTTGTCAATAACTTATAAACTGTATCAACAGAGGGAGTCTTGAAAGAAAACATGCAATTAGTTGGCTTGAGATAATACTCTGGACCATTTTCTGTTAAAACGATGTCAGAAACAAGATTGCTACCAACAGTAGAGAAATAGTTATTGAATGCTTCTGATATCTCGATGGGTGAGGTAATAACTTGCTCTCCCAACCTAATTTCTGATAATTTTTTAGTTTTGCTTGAATATTTTGAACTAACTTCATTAATTAGTTTCCATGTTTTCCTCATATTGCCTTTATGTAGCTCAAGGTTTGTGGTAAAATATGATGTCTTGGTTTTTTTAATTTCATTATTAACTTGATTACGAGACTGTTTATATTCATGCCAAGCATGAGGGTCCTGTGAAGAAATAGCTTTCTTTTTCAAATAGTCTCTTTTAAACATTTGACGTTTCAAATCATTTGTAATCCACGAGGACCTCTTTTAACCAATACGCCTTGATCTACATGGGGCGTGTTTATTAATAGTTTCATTAATATGCTTTTCCAGGTAGCCCACATTTCATTCGGATCTTCAGAACAATGTACATTATTATATATCAATAGTCAAAGTCGCATTTTTCTAGTGTTTTATTGGTTGAGAGCATATCACGTGAGAGTGACGAAATTAGGCTGTCTCCCTCGCAACAGCGCGAGAGGGAGATAATACGTTATCCACCGGCGAAT